ACCACCAGAAAACCAGAAGTGGCGCTGTAGCTCAAGTGGTAGAGCGCTCGCCTTGAGCTGAAGAGCTGAGGGACAGCGCCCAGACCCAGAGTTCAAGTCCCACGACCGACAAAAAAAAAAAAGAAAGAAAAACAAAGATTAGCAATATATGGTAATGCATGGCTATAATTCTAGCATGTGGGAGGCTAAGGATTGCAAATTCAAGGTTAGCCTGGGCTGAATAGTGAGACCTTAGCTCAAAATAAAAATAACAAAATTTCCCTTTCCTTCCACATCCTTTTTCCTGCTGCCTACCCTTTGCCAGACCCCTGTGTGGGGGTGGTCTCAGGGTGTGGATCTTTTTTTTTTAATTTTTTATTGTGAACATACTGTACATAGGGGTTACAATTACATGGGCAAGATAATGGGTACAAGGGTGTGGATCTTGATAGGTCTGAGGACCAGGATGATGATGTCTTGACCTGAAGAGGGCATGTTGGCTCCACTACCACTAAGTGTCCAACAATCTTGCTAACTTTTTCAAAACACTTAATCCTTGTGGGCAGCGTCAGTGTGTGCTATTCTTGTTGTCATTCTGCAAGTTCTGCTCTCTTAGTAAATTCAAATCTTTGTTTCCCAGAATGTCTTCTGTGCCCTTTTCTGTGCTCTCATTCAGGCCCACGTAAGTACAGAAAGGAGGCCTTTGAGGGTGGGAGTACTAGGCCTGCAAATGCAAAAATACATCTAGAGACAAAGTAGAGGGAAGGACTGAGTCATAGTTGCTCAGCTCCGCTTTGTTACTCCCTCCTTCCCCTGGCTGCTCTGTGTGGAAGAGCCTGCTAGAGAGCCTTCCAGAGGCATGAGCTGGACAAGGAGGCCCAAATGATCAGAGATCAGCTGTCAGATGGTGTACTACGTGTCTTACATATAGCCTAGAAATGGGGAAAAAAAGATGGGAAGCCTTCGGTCCTTAGATCTAGAACTTTAGAAATTAGATTAGGATCAAGGTTCAAAGCCAGCTCTGGCAGGATAGTCTGTGAATTCTTATTTCCAAGTAACCACCAAAAACCTAGAGGTGGAGCAGTGGCTCAAGTAGTAAATTGCAAGCCTTGAGTGAAAAAGCCTCAAGGTAAGATCACTGAGTGCTTCAAGAAATGTTCTCCTCTTCTCTCCCCCACCCCCCTATTTTGATGTCAGTCCTGGAGCTTGGACTCAGTGCATAGTCACCGTCCCTGAGCTTTTTTTGCTCCGGGCTAGTGCTCTACCACTGAGCTCCTCTTGGGCAGTTAATTGGAGATAAGAGTCTCATAGACTTTCTTGCCCAGGCTGGCTCTTTGTTTTTCTAAAACAGGTGTTTGGCTATGTTACCTCAGATGGTCTTAAACTTACTCCTGGGTTAGCCAGGTGCAGGTGGCTCACGCCTGTAATCCTAGCTACTTAGGAGGCTGAGATCTGAGGATCACAGTTCAAAGCCAGCCCAGGTAGGAAAGTCTGTGAGACTCTTATCGCCAATTAACGACCAGAAAACTGGAAGTGGTGTTGTGGCTCAAGTGGTAGAGCACTTGCCTTGAGCTGACAAAACAAAACAAAACAAAAAACAAAACTCCTGGGCTAAGTAATCCTCCCATCTCTGCTTCTGGAGCTACAGGTACATTTTACTGCCATCAGCTGAGAACAGATTATTTATTTATTTATTTATTTATTTTTGCTGGTCATGGGGCCTTAACTCTGGGCTTGGGCCTGGGCGCTGTCCCTGAGCTCTTCAGTTCAAGGCTAGTGCTCTACCACTTGAGCCACGGTGCTACTTCTGGCTTTTTCTGCTTATGTGATGCTGAGGAATTGAACCCTGGGGCCTCCTGCATGCAAGGTAAGCACTCTACCACTAAGCCACCTTCCAGCCCCAGAACAGATTTTTGGGGTGTGTGTATGTGCGTGCGTGCGTGTGTGGCTACAGATTGAACACCACTGAGCTACATACCCAATCCTGGGGTGGGTGTGTGTGGGTGTTGCTACAGACTGAACACCACTGAGCTATATACCCAATCCTGGTGTGTGTGTGTGTGTGTGTGTGTGTGTGTGTGTGTGTGTGTGTGTGTGTGTGTGTGTGTGTGTGTGTGTGTGTG